TCCAAAACCTATGGGATGCAGCAAAAGCAGTTCTAAGAGGGAAGTGTATAGCAATAAAGTCCTACCTCAAGAAACAAGAAAAGGGGCTTCCCTGGTGGCACAGTGGTTAAGAATCCGCCTGCCAACACAGGGGACATGGGGTCGAGCCGTGGTCTGGGAGGATCACACATGCCGCAGAGCAACTAAGCCTGTGTGCCACAACTACTGAGCCTGCAGGCCACAACTGCTGAAGCCTGTATGCTTAGAGCCTGTGCTCCACAACAAGAGAGGTCATCGCAGTGAGAAGCCCTCGCACCGCGATGAAGAGCGGCCCCTGCTGGCCACATCTAGAGAAAGCCCGCACAGCAAGAAAGACCCAATGCAGCCAAAAATAAATAAATTAATTAATTAAACTAATCTATTAAAAAAAAGAGAAAGAAACAAGAAAAATCTCAAATAAACAACCTAACCTTACACCTAAAGGAACTAGAAAAAGAAGAACAAACAAAATACAAAATTAGGAGAAGGAAAGAAATCATAAAGATCAGAGCAGAAATAAACGAAATAGAAACAAAGAAAACAATAGCAAAGATCAATAAAACTAAAAGGTGGTTCTTTGAGAAGATAAACAAAATTGATAAACCATTAGCCAGACTCATCAAGAAAAAGAGAGAGAGGACTCAAATCAATAAAATTAGAAAGGGAAAAGAAGTTATAACGGACACTGCAGAAATACAAAGCATCATGAGAGACTACTACAAGCAAGTCTATGCCAATAAAATGGACTACCTGGAGGAAGTGGACAAATTCTTAGAAAGGTATAACCTTCCAAGACTGAACCAGGAAGAAATAGAAAATATGAACAGACCAATCATAAGTAATGAAATTGAAACTGTGATTAAACATCCTCCAACCAACAAAAGTCCAGGACCAGATGGCTACACAGGTGAATTCTATTAAACATTCAGAGAAGAGTTAACACCCACCCTTCTCAAACTCTTCCAAAAATTGCAGAGGAAGGAACACTCTGCAGCTCATCCCATGAGGCCACCATCACCCTGATACCAAAACCAGACAGAGATACTACAAAAAAAGAAAATTAAAGACCAATATCACTGATGAACATTGATGCAAAAATTCTCAACAAAATACTAGGAAACAGAATACAACAACACATTAAAAGGATCATACACCATGATCAAATGGGATTTATCCCAGGGATGCAAGGATTCTTCAATATAGGCAAATCAATCAATGTGATACACCATCTTAACAAATTGAAGAATAAAAACCGTGTGATCATCTCAATAGATTCAGAAAAAGCTTTTGACAAAATTCAACACCTATTTATGATAAAAACTCTCCAGAAAGTGGGCATCAAGGGAACCTACCTCAACATAATAAAGACCATTATATGACAAACCCACAGCAAACATCATTCTCTGTGGTGAAAAACTGAAACCATTTCCTATAAGATCAGGAACAAGACAAGGTTGCCCACTCTCACCACTATTATTCAACATAATTTTGGAAATCCTTGCCACAGCAATCAGAGAAGAAAAAGAAATAAAAGGAATACAAATTGGAAAAGAAGTAAAACTGTCACTGTTTGCAGATGACATGATACTATACGTAGAGAATGGTAAAGATGCCACCAGAAAACTATTAGAGGTAATTAATGAATTTGGTAAAGTTGCAGGATACAAAATTAATGTAAGAGTTTCTGCTGAGAAATCAGCTGTTAACCTTATGGGAGTTCCCTTGTATGTTGTCATTTTTCCCATGCTGCTTTTAATAATTTTTCTTTGTCTTTAATTTTTGTCAATTTGATTACTATGTGTCTTGGCCTGTTTCTCCTTGGGTTTATCCTGCCTGGGACTCTGCACTTCCTGGACTTGGGTGGCTATTTCCTTTCCCAAGTTAGGGAAGTTTTCAACTATAATCTCTTCAAATATTTTCCCAGGTCCCTTCTCTCTCTCCTCCTTCTGGGACTCCTATAATGTGAATGTTGGTGCGTTTAATGTAGTCCCAGAGGTCTCTTAGGCTGTCTTCATTTCTTTTCATTCTTTCTTCTTTATTCTGTTCCACGGCAGTGAATTCCACCATGCTGTCTTCCAGGTCACTTATCCGTTCTTCTGCCTCAGTTATTCTGCTATTGATTCCTTCTAATGTATTTTTCATCTCAGTTATTGTATTGTTCATCTCTGTTTGTTTGTTCTTTAATTCTTCTAGGTGTTTGTGCTTTAATTTTTTTAGGTCTTTGTTAAACATGTCTTGCATCTTCTTGATCTTTGCCTCCATTCTTTTTCCGACCTCCTGGATCATCTTCACTATCATTATTCTGAATTCTTTTTCTGGAAGGTTGCCTATCCTCACTTCATTTAGTTGTTTTTCTGGGGTTTTATCTTGTTCCTTCATCTGGTACATAGCCCTCTGCCTTTTCATCTTGTCTGTCTTTCTGTGAATGTGGTTTTTGTTCCACAGGCTGCAGGATTGTAGTTCTTCTTGCTTCTGCCGTCTGCCCTCTGGTGGGTGAGGCTATCTAAGAGGCTTATGCAAGCTTCCTGATGGGAGGGACTGGTGGTGGGTAGAGCTGGGTGTTGCTCTGGTGGGCAGAGCTCAGTAAAACTTTAATCCCCCTGTCTGCTGATGGGTGGGGCTGGGTTCCCTCCCTTTTGGTTGTTTGGCCTGAGGTGACCCAGCACTGGAGCCTAGGCTCTTTGGTGGGCTAATGGCGGACCCTGGGAGGGCTCCTGCCAAGGTGTACTTCACAGAATTTCTGCTGCCAGTGTCTTTGTCCCTGCAGTGAGCCACAGCTGCCCCCCGCCTCTGCAGGAGACCCTCCAACACTAGCATGTAGGTCTGGTTCAGTCTCCTATGGGGTCACTGCTCCTTCCCCTGGGTCCCAGTGTGCACAGTACCTTGTGTGTGGCCTCCAAGAGTGGAGTCTCTGTTTCCCCCAGTCCTGTCAGAGTCCTGCAATCAAATCCCACCAACCTTCAAAGTCTGATTCTCTGGGAATTCCTCCTCCCGTTGCCGGACCCCCAGGTTGGAGCCTGACGTGGGGCTCAGAACCTTCCCTCCAGTGGGTGGACTTCTGTGGTGTAAGTGTTCTCCAGCCTGTGAGTCACCACCCAGCGGTTATGGGATTTGATTTTACTGTGATTGCGCCCCTCCTGCCGTCTCCTTGCGGCCTCTCCTTTGTCTTGGATGCGGGGCATCTCTTTTGGTGAGTTCCAGTGTCTTCCTGTCAATGATTGTCCAGCAGTTGGTTGTGATTCCGGTGCTCTTGCACGAGGGAGTGAGCCCACGTCCTTCTACTCCGCCGTCTTGAACCAATCTCCAGAAATAGAATTCTGACACAGGTTACAACATGGATGAACCTTGAAAACCCTATGCTAAGTGAAAGAAGCTGAACACAAAAGGACAAATACTGAATGAGTCCATTGATACGAGATATGAAAAATAGGCAGACATACAGGTAGAAAGTAGAAGAGAGGTTACTTGGGGCGGGGGGGAGAGGAGTTATTGTTTAGTGGGTCCAGAGTGTTTGGGTTGATGAAAACCTCTGGAAATAGATCGTAATAATGGTTCCACAACCTTGTGAATGTATTTAATACTACTGCATTATACACTTTAAAATGGTTAAAATGGTAAATTTTACATTACTTATATTGTAGCACAATTGAAAAAACACTCAAAACTCTTGACGATGTGAGCAGAGAGGAGCCTGAGAAAGCCGCCAGGGCTCAGGCTGCGGCAGCTGAGTTAATCAGTCGCGGTTCTGCCGTAGCGTTGTCACCCCCCTCTTGGGGTTCTCTCATCTTGATTTCTGCTGCCAGATAGACATAGCCAACTCTCATCCTATTCCTAGCGTTTAGTGCAGCCTAGGTTGTGATTTGGGAAAGTAGAAAAGGAATAGCAGACGCAGGGATTAGACCAAGAAGGGTCTTGTAAGCCACTCATTTATTCATTCTTTCAACAAGCATTAATCACCTGCTTATTATTTTCTGAAGTTCCAGGCAATGTCTTAGGTGCTCGGATTCAAGGTGAGTGGGGAAGAAAACGACCTTCTCTTGTATGTACTGAATGAGGGGGTGTGAGAGTCTAGTAGACTAAATAGGGCAAGCAAGTCATGGTAAGGATTCTGGATTTTATTTTATTTTATATTTTTTCTTTCTTTTTTTTTTTGGCCACACCATGTGACATGGGGAATCTTAGTTCCCCAACCAGGGATTGAACCTGGGATCAAACCCATGCCCCCTGCACTGGGAGTACAGAGTCCTAACCACTAGACTGCCAGGGAAGTCCCTGGATTTTATTTTTAAGGTTTTAAGCAAGAGAGTGACATCATGTGATTTATATATTTTAAAGACTCTTTTTTTTTTTTTTGCGGTACGCGGGCCTCTCACTGCTGTGGCCTCTCCTCTTGCGGAGCACAGGCTCCGGACGCACAGGCTCAGCGGCCATGGCTCACAGGTCCAGCCGCTCCGCGGCATGTGGGATCCTCCCGGACTGGGGCACGAACCCGTGTCCCCTGCATCGGCAGGCGGACTCTCAACCACTGTGCCACCAGGGAAGCCCCTAAAGACTCCTTTGACTGCTTTGCATAAGAGTGAATTGGAAGAGGGCAAGCATGGGAACAGTGAAGCAGGAGGCTTTGCACTGGTACAGGTGAGAGAGGGGGATGGCCTGGGCAGGTAATGGGAATAAAATAGAGAGAAGTGGACAGATACGGGATACATTTTAGAATTAATGGGAGTCAGGTGGATTCAAGGTACAGGCTGAGAAAAAGGGACTCAAGGAAAATTCCTAGGTTTTCTGCCTTGAGCAGTTGGGTGACTTGCTGAAATGAGGACGGTGGGGAGGAAAATCAGGAGTCCAGGTAAACACACGTTTTGGGTGCCTGTGAGTCACTCAGATGGAGACGTTCCAAAGGCTGTTGTGAAACAGCCTGAAGCTCAGGGTAGAGGTGGGAACCTTGGAGATGTAAATTTAGGAATCATTAGCATAAAATGATATTGAAGGAATCATTAGCATAAAATGATATTGAGAGCTATTGGGATTGGGTAAGATCCCTAGAAAGAGATGAAAAGATAGAACAAGACTGAAGCCGCTTAAGGATTTGACACGGACAGAGTTGAATCGGGGGGTTAACACAGTCAGGTTTGTGTTTTAGGAAGATTTCTGACTTCCGGTGTCACTTAGAGGCAGGCATGACTCGAAAGAGGAGACCAGAGAAGAGGCTGCTGTGATACACGTTTTGGGAGATGATAGTAACTTTATCCAGGAAAGTGTTAAAAGGGATGGAGATAACTAAATAAACGGATCAAGAGGTGATTTTGAATAGTGTGGACAAAACTTGAAGACTGATTAGGGGTATGAAATGAGGATAAGATTAAGGTCAAGGGTTATGCCTCTAAATTTCTAGTTCAAAACCGGGCAGATCATGGTACCCTTTCACCATCATGAAAAAGTTTGGGGAACGGTAAAGACAGATTGCTAATTTTGACATGCCTAGACATTTCAAGCTAGGTGGTGAGTAAACATTTGTACATTCATGTGTGGACTGCAGGAGAGAGCTGAATCATCACCCGTAAGCTGTCTCAAAGCTGTCGACGCAGCCAAGATTAGCCAGGGAGAACAAGTTGAGTGAGAAAAAGGCCTAGGATGAAAACCTAGGGAATTTCCAATATGTCAGAGTCAATAGAGGGAGAGGGATTTGCAGAAGAGGCTGAAAAAGAGCAGCCGGCGAAGTAGGAGGAAAGCAAGGTAAAAGGGACGTCGTGTCCCCGGTTCCAGACATTGGTCATTTGACACGTCGTTTATTCCTTGTCACAGTCCGGCAAGCAGGTATGTCTCATCTCCATGTAACAGAAGGCCGCACTGAGACTCAGAAAGGTGAAATGGCCTCGCCAAAGACTCTTATCTAGAAAACAGAGCACGTGTGAAGGAATTTAAGCAAACCCTGGGCTATCTGGTTTCCATCCTTTGGCCTTTAGTAAAAGGAATGACGTGTGTGCGTGCGTGTGCGTGTGTGTGTGTGTGTGTTTACATGTTTTTATATACACAAGACCATCTCTGCAGGATATGTAGAAGCTGGTAAGAGTGGAGAGCGTTTGCCTTTGTGGGGGAATGGAGGTTGCTGACTGGCCAGATGGAGACTTCTGGGCTCTGTACTAGTGTAACAGAGAGTGGGTAATGAAGAGTTTGACTTCGTTTTTAATGCCCGACTGCTGACAGCTTCCAGGTCCCATCACTGTCCCCCTTCTGGCTCACATCTGGGCGGCTGATACAGGACACCAGGTGCCCTCTCCCTTGGCTGCCACGGGAAGGTCCAACCAGGTAAGCCCCGGCCCTTGCCAAGCAGAACCCTCAGCCCGGCTCGGCCATGGAAACGCCAAGCAGATCCCCTTTCTCTGCTCTCTCAAGCCGTTTCTGGACCTGCTTCCATCCTGCCCTCCTCAGAGGCTGCATCGTGTGAGTAATAAACCTTTCTATGCTCTCTGGTGTGCGTGTGACCTCACCGGTCTGGACATCAGAACCACATCTTGGGCAGGTGCCGGGCAGGGGGTCCATCCTGCCTATGTGGGGTGACCACAGCCATCACGTCCGTTCACAGCTGTGGGGTTGCACGATTCTCATTTCGAATATTTTAATTAAAAACGTAAATTAACGAAAACATTTTGAAATGGTAAGAATAAAAAAGATCCATGGGGCTTCCCTGGTGGCGCAGTGGCTGAGAGTCCGCCTGCCGATGCAGGGGACACAGGTTCGTGCCCCGGTCTGGGAAGATCCCACATGCCGCGGAGCGGCTGGGCCCGTGAGCCATGGCCGCTGAGCCCGCACGTCCGGAGCCTGTGCTCCGCAATGGGAGAGGCCACAACAGTGAGAGGCCCGCAAGTATAAGGTTGACAAGTGCAGGGGACAGAGGCGTCCACAGTAATCAGTCTTCTCTTTCTTCAGTTGTGTACCTGTATGTAAAAGCTGCCAACACCGCTGTCGTTTGAATCCTAAGCACACGTACACCAGCCCCAAGCCCAAACCTTGGCCCTGCCTTGAAGTGGAGACACAGAGCGGAATCCACAGAGAAAGCTCTGGAGCGCCCCAGGCGTGCACTGCAGCGTCCCCGCTGGACTGGCTGGCTCGTTTATTAAATTGCAGCAGACTCCTCCACAGGTCCCGCCTTGGCGTCTACACCGCGCCTCTGTCTAGTCTAATCCGTTCCCCACCCTGCAGGACGGGTGACCTTTCTAAGAGGCAGACGTGATCGTGTTACTTCCCTCCCTCTAACCATTCGGCGGCCCCTCATGTGTCTACAGGACTTGATGTGGCATAAAAGCCCTTTCGTGACTTGCTGATACTCCATTCACTCACCCAGCTTTCTCACCGTTCTTTTGTACTCCAGGCTCCAATCACATTAAGCATCCTTCCGTTCCTAAAATCCCCTTGTTCATCTGCATTCCTGCTCTCGGTATAAACTGTTGCCTCTGCCGGCATCACGCCCCTTTCCCAGTCTGGGCCTCCTCTTCTCCCTGGGTGATCTCCCACTTAGCCTTCAAGGCTCAGCTTAGATGCCGTTTCCCTGGGGATCTCACTAAGGCTGGGTCAGCTGCCCGTCTCCTTTCTCTGACCACAGCACTTCCTGCCCTCGGTGGGGACAGTGACAGGCCGTTTCCCTGCATGGCTCCAAGCCCAGTATGTGTCAGGACTGTGCCTTATTCAGACCCGTGCCCGAAAAGCCTGAAGCAGTCCTGGGACATAATGTGTATTCAATCAGTATTTGTTAAATGAATGAACTTAGAAATGACATGACCTGGATTTGATGATTGTGCAGGCTGTGTAAGGGGTACCTAGGGTTTTATCATGCTGTTTTTCTCTGCTTTTGTGTATATTTGACATTTTCTGTCATGAAAAGATTTTTTTAAAGTCATGGTTTTTAACTTCTAGATGATGTGTCTCATGTCTTGTTAAATTGCAAAAGACAAGAAACGGTGGGACAGAATCTGACCCAACTGCGTACACATGGGTGTTGCGAGAAGGCCTGACGCCGAAGGGGACACCTGCACTCCATTTGTCCCCATCGTTGGGCCGGATCCACCAGTGTCACATTGGAGGAGCACAAAAATCAACAAACAGGTTGGTAAGAACAAGGGGGGCCATTGTTCTGTCCAAGGCAGGCAGCTTGTGACAGGCTGGAAGGGCTGCATGGGCTCTGTGCGAGCCTCTCCGAGCTGCCCGAGAACTTGTCAGAGGACCCTGATTTCTTCGAGCTGGACTTGGCTGAATTGGATGGCTTTGCCCAGTATTTTATTATTATTATTTTATTATTATTTTTTAAAATTTTTGGCTGTGTTGGGTCTTCATTACTGCACGCGGCTTTCTCTAGTTGCGCGAGCGGTGGCTACTCTTCCTTGCGGTGCACGAGTGTCTCACTGCGGTGGCTTCTCTTGTTGCAGAGCACAGGCTCTAGGCGCGCAGGCTTCAGTAGTTGTGGCTCATGGGCTCGCAGTTGTGGCTCGCGGGCTCTAGAGCGCAGGCTCAGTAATTGTGGCACACGGGCTCAGTAGTTGTGACTTGCAGGCTCTAGAGCACAGGCTCAGTAGTTGTGGCGCACGGGCTTAGTTGCTCCGCGGCATGTGGGATCTTCCCCGACCAGGGCTTGAACCCGTGTCCCCTGCATTGGCAGGTGGATTCTTAACCACTGCACCACCAGGGAAGCCCTGCCTGGCATTTTAAAAGGGGTGTTTTCCTTGAGGAAGCTGGAGGCTGCCACTGACTTGAAATGACACATTTTGGGGCCATTCAGGATTCATAGCTGTCATTAGTTTCCTTTGCGACATGAGACATTTGGCTGAAGAAAGATTTTAACAGTGACCTCAGGTTAAAGAGGTCAAGAGAAAACTTTACGTCTCTGATTAGGGTTTCACCCACGTGGTGGGAAGGAAGCAGGGCAATAATGCATTTCTATCTACTAATCAGTCAGCCAATCAGTATTGACTGGGCTCTTACCACGTGCCCAGCAGGTGTGAGGCGCCACCTGTAGAGGGGAATAACTAGGTTAATAACTGTGCTGGGAGAAACCGGCTACACATCAAGCACGTGGGTCCTGGGGGTGCCCCAGGGAAGCCTGGATCATTGGACGCACGTTGTTTTTCAATATTCAAAGTATCTGATAAAAAAAAACCCAACCAAATGAAATTATATGTGACAGGTATAACTGTGGTGATTTCATAGAGGATAAAACCAAGACTCAGAGACTCAAACCCAACTTGGACCTGCATTCAAAGCCCGTGCTTGCCATTCCAAAGAGATTGCTTTGTGGCATCACACTGCCTGGTGGTGGTTTGGACCTGGGCAGGCCGGAAGGATGCGCGTAGCTGAACTCCTGTAGTTGGGATAAAGGACGTCTTCGAGTCATCAGACTTTGATTAGTTACAGCCCAGCCTGAAGTTTTACTGGTTTGAAAGCCTGCAGTGCTTGCATTTCCACCAGATGTCAGCGTTCACTGTCCCTCACTCCCTCCAGTCTTTTAAAAAACAAGGGAGCGCTGCGTTGCTCTTGGGGTCCTCAGCGTGGTGATTGCATCTGCGCCTGAGGTGGAGGGTTGTGTGGCAAGAAAGCCGCTGGGCGCTGAATCTTGACTCAGCGAGGAGGAATTTGAAAATGTAGTCAGCCTTCCACTTCCCCGATTTCCTACAATCCAAAGGCATTCTTTTTTTTTTCTCTCTCCCCCTTGTGATTTCATGTCTGTAAAAAACAGCCCATTTCTGATGGATGAGCCAAGCAGAGTTATCTGGCCTTTGGCCGAGACTGCATCAGACAGAGGAGGTTCTGGGGTGAAGGGAGGACACAGGGAGGATGCAGGGCAGCCGCGGTAGAAGCCCCAGCCAGATGGGGCTGGGGCGGGACCAGGCCACAGCGTGGCTTCTGGGGAGGGACCAGAGGCCGCCAAACACTGGGTCAGAGTTTATTCACCCCCGATTACACTCTTGGAAGAGTTCATGCTCGGGGATCTAATACTAGCATTCCCTGCAGATTTTGTGAGCAGGAACGATACATTAGTTCATTTACATCTAAGTGCCAAATGAACGTGAACTTCCTTTGTTTCCTAATAGGAGAAACCAGGCCAGAATGAGAGGCTGAGATGCCCAGGGTATGCCTGGGGGTACTG